GTTTGTCTTTGTGTTTTGTTTTATTGTTTGTTTTGTTTATTTATCTTATTTTATTTGTTTTGTGTTTTGTTTGTGTTTTGTTCTGTGTTTTGTTCTGTTTGTTTGTTTTGTTGTGTGTTTTGTTTTGTTTATTTTGTTTATTTTGTGTTTTGTTGTGTTTTGTTTGTGTTTTGTTTGTGTTTTGTTTGTGTTTTGTTTGTGTTTTGTTTGTGTTTTGTTCTGTTTGTTTTCTTTGGTTTTGTTGTTTGGTTTTGTTGTTTGTTGTTTGTTGTTTGTTTGTTGTTTGTTGTTTTTTGTTGTCTTTGTTCTTCCCCTGACTCTTCCCACCAGTAAATGCGCTGAGCTGGAGGAGGAGCTGAAAACTGTCACCAACAACCTGAAGTCTCTGGAGGCCCAAGCTGAGAAGGTAGAGAACAGGTCCAGACTCAGTCTCAACATCTCCCACATCAAATAACCCTAAGTCCCAAACAGGAAGATTAAAAAAGGGTTTCCTTTCTGAGGGAATTATCCTTTTAGAGGATGTTTGTGGTGGTTTATTTAACATCCTGGTTTCCTGTTCTGATGGAGGACGCTGCCTTTCTGCCTCTGTACCAGGATCCTGCTTTTCTCTTTGACCTTTGACCTTTTGGCCTCATAGCTATCAGACACTACTGTTTAAATCTAAAGGAAAATGCTTTCAGATATTTGATCCAAACGGGCCAATGGGAGCAGGGCTGCTGTCCCATGTGACCTGAGAAAGGAGAGGATACTGTGTGGGATCCGTTTAAATGGGAAATCTTTGGGGAAATCTCTGGAAAATCACTGAAAATTTAGCTTTTTTAGTTCTTTAGATTAAGGAAAATCATAGTTGTGTTCAAAGAGCTCAAGAGCTGCTTTTTTACTGTTTCAAATCTATAGGAAAATTCTTTTAGACATTTTCCACCAATCATGTTCTTATTGTGGAGTTAAAATGTTGTAAATAAGTCATTTGGACCTTTAGAACCAAATGCATTAAATCTGTAAATAGACATTTTAAATCTAAAAATAAACCCACTGAGCCTCTATGAAGAAAAACTACCTGAACCAGGACCAGGAGGTTAAATGATATTATTTAACTAGCAAACCTTTCCAAACTGATCCAAACTGGGATTTCTGCAGCTTCTTAATAAAACCGTGTTGTTTTGATCCGCTTGTTAGTAAAATTGTGTTAATAATTGATCCAGTATGTAAAACATCGGCTGATAGATTTGATGGAGAGCTTCTGTTAACGGCAGCTTTAATGTGTTTCTCCACCACAGTACTCCCAAAAGGAGGACAAATATGAGGAAGAGATCAAGATCCTGACGGACAAACTGAAAGAGGTAAGCAGAGAAAGAAAGGAGGGATGATAGATAGATAGATAGATAGATAGATAGATAGATAGATAGATAGATAGATAGATAGATAGATAGATAGATAGATAGATTATATAAATCATTTATAGGATATAATGGATATAGGATATAAATAGATGTATCAGTGTTTAACCATCATTTAAAAACAGAACATATAATATATATAAATCATTTATAGATGCTAAACAGATGGTCTTTTAACCATTTACAAATGATATATTTGCCATAGATAGAGTCAACACAATGAGGTAAAAAGTAAAATAAAGTCTAGATGTGTTTACAATATAAATGCAATATAAAAATGTGTAAATAA